AAGCAGAAAATGGTTTCTGCTTTGAAGAGACTGTATCTTAGCAAATGATTTGCATGACCCCAGTGCGACTTAAACGGTCCTAATGTGAGTACTTTAACTTTAGCCAGCTTTGTAGGTAAAACTCCTCAGATGTAGCTATCGCATCTGACTTCCACTTTGAAAGAGCCATCTTCATTTTTCCATTGGCAGCACACCAGGAAGTTTACTCCTTAGACACGGCGGGGTGAGGAGCACTTTGCTACCCTTCCCCCTCACTCCCCAGGGCACGCTCTTGGCTGGACTCCACTAGCACAGCTCTGAGTTACTTCAAAGTCCTCCAAACCATTCAACCTCTTCAAAGTTCACCTAAAAAGCTGAAGTTGGCGAGAGCATGAATGCTGCAGCCATGATTTTATGCCAGCCACTCCCAACTCAAAAGCAGAGAAATTCTAGGAAAGAACAATTCCTGGTCGCAGAAGCTGTGAAGCTGCACTGCCAGGTCAGTCCTGGACAAGAGTTATACCGAGAACTGGGGGGGGAGGAGGTCATGGAAAATAAATTGGATTTTCCATAAAACAAAATCCTCAGTGTTGTTACACAAGTAACACCATTCATCTTCTGACTGAGTCTGATAAAGTGCAGGACCAAACAGAGCGTCCTCACTGCAGTGCCAGCCAGCCACGGGATACAGGTTACCCTCTCAGCTGGGAGTGCTCCACGCAAGACAATGAACAGCTCTGAGGTTTTCTGCAGAAGCCATTCTTTGTCTTGCAGCACGGGGGTAGGTAGTGACCATTCTGGGTACAGATGTACAGTATTACAATGCACTGACACTGCTGTAAACATACCTGCTAGTGGCACTCAGCTTGCCACAGAGCCCACTTCCAACTTAGGCAGCTGGTCACGAACAACAGCCCCACAATGAAACTCAACTGGGCCAATGGAAAGGATCCCAAAGACTTTCCACTTCAATTGGAGAAGAAACTTCTTCTCAGTGAGGGTGCCAGAGCACTGGCCCAGGCTGCCCAGAGAGGTTGTGGAGGCTCCTTCTCTGCAGACATTCAAAACCCGCCTGGACGCCTTCCTGTGTAACCTCATCTGGGTGTTCCTGCTCCGGCAGGGGGATTGGACTGGATGAGCTTTGGAGGTCCCTTCCAATCCCTAACGGTCTGGGATTCTGTTCTGTGATTCTGTGACTTCACTGTGATCCAAATTGGCCACAGGACCTGCCTGCTGCACTCGCTGCCCCGTTCCTCCTCAGCCCAGCACTCAACAGGAACCTTCAGGCAAACAAGCCTGCTTCGCGTTGCCCATCCCATGATGTTTTTTAAGGACTTCTCATGGCTTTTATTTATTTATGTTAAACACAAACCACTTTGCTAGCTGCTGGTTTCCTTTCATGTAAGTCAATTTAATGGGTGTCCTCCTCTCACTGGAATTCACCAGCTCTGTCCCTTGGATGGCATTGGTACGGGGCTGCCTCTCAGTTCAGATTCCGTCTCTCCAAGGTCAATGATGTATAGCGTGAAAGTGAGAATTTTATGAACTACAAAAGTGCTATTCCTTCAGGGAAAATTCAGGATTTTTCTGTCTGCTCAGATTTCCTTTGAAGTGGAAACAAAAGATAATTGTGAAAGAAAAACTTAGACTTTGAAAATACTTTTCTTAGCAAATTGCCAAAACTTTTCATGCTGGGAAGAAACTTCATTTTTAACAAGCTTCCTTTCAAAAATCAAAGTCCACATTCCTTTCCAAGGAAAGAGTTTGGAAAAATCCAGAAGTAAGCCTTACTGTTCCTTTTCCATAGCTGGTGATAGCAGATTTAGCTACTTGTTTATTTAAAGTGCGTTTTACCATATTCAACTGAAGACTAACAAGTAACACGTTTTCTCATTTAAAAATGATTCTTTATACTGTGGATAAAATCACATTGCATCAGATTAAAACGTCTCTACTTGGTTCAGCACAGCCTCTGCCCCTCCCTAGCTTTTTATCACGTTATATATTTCCTCCACCATTTTTAGGTTAATTTAAACTTGCTATAACTGGAGAAGTTTGATATTTATTTTCCTGGTAAGGTTAGTTTGAAAAAAACCCCAAAGAAATGTCATTCCTCGCTGGGTGGATCTGGCAGTGATGCTGAGAGAAAAGACTATGAGGAAGGCCTGTTTGTGAGGCACGTCTAACGATTTCACTCAAAAAGACCTAACGCAAACTAAGATCTGGATCCCCCATCACATCCAGTCAAGCTACCAGACACTGTGCATTGATGTTGAATAGCACCAGGAATATTTCTGAAAGGTTCTCAAAACAACAACGTCTGTGTTTCAGTCTTTGGCTTCACAGGAAACACTGAGTCATAAGGCATGAAAACATTTACGCAAAACTAATCGCACACAGAATTATTCCAAAGTAGCTGCCATTACTGAAACAACTGCAAAATAAACTCGAACGTTACTTTACCACCGTGCCTTGCCAGAAACCTTAACCTGGACAAAACAAATTAAAACCAAAATAAGACAGGAAAACCCGTGCCACACCCTCCCATGCCTTAAAGCAATGACAGACTGCAAATTCATACACGCAAGCCAGGAAACTCTAATGCTCTGTTTCCAAAACCCAAGTATTTTTAGAGCAGGTAATGGAGCACACACAGATAGCAGATTCACTTTTGTACTGCCTGACTGTTACGATTGTCCTTGTCAGGCAAAATTTCCAGCAACAAAAATGAGGCACCTGAGGAAAGGTAAGCTTTTAGTGCTCAAATAAAGGCACGGTGAATGGGCCTGATTTTCAGAAAGCGCTGAGTTCCCATCCTGGATGTGACAAATTTGGGACCCTACTTTTTTTTGGAACTTGCAGAAACTGTGCAGGTGCACTGCATGGGTGGAGGGTGTTGCACTGAAAGCCTTTAAATGAAGAGAGAAGGGAAAAAAAAGACAAAAAAAGGAAATAAAAGAGCATCAGTGGAAGAAATCTCTTACTGCTGACTGACAGACACAAGGATAACTCCAGAAGTTTTAAATTTGGCCATGCACAAGACAGGTATAAAAGAAACTATTATACAGTACGACCACAGGCTGCTATGCAGTGGAAAGAGAAAGCTTTTTTTATATAAAAGCAGAAAATACATTTTGCCCTCTCTTGTCCTTCACGAACGAGCTCCTGAAGCTTGCCTTGATTTCAGTACAAGGAACAATTCCAAGAGAAATGAGCGCAGAAAATGTGAGAAGGTAATGCTGCTGTACTCTCGTGTCTTTTTTCAGGATTACTCAGTAACAAATCTAAGTCGGCCTAAAAGCTAAAGCAGGGAAGTGGAAGAGTTATGATCAGACAACCACCTTTTCTCAGTACTCTGAAAAACATCCAAACCAATTAACAGGATCCCAAAAGAAGGGGGAAATAGGCAAAGGATGATTTAGACAAGCAAGGTCTTTAGTGTTTTCCTCCTGTCTGACATCTCGCCTCTCTCATTCTGCTCGGCAGCGGACAGACAACACAGACCCATTGGACCGCAGCAGGAGGCAAAGCTGCTTTATTGTTACCTCAAGTTATTTTCTGGCAAAAGGATGAATCATACAGGATCAACCAGTCACACCAAATACAAACGTACTGGGAGGGCTGCTAAAGGAGCGATTAGCCCATGAACTTCACAGAGACACACCTTGAAGTCCATTCAGCAAAACACACTGAAGGTATGTAAGACAAGTCATCTGTATGGGATCTGAAATCTAAACAAGAACTCCACTGGCTCCTCCAAGCAAGTCTCTTGAAGTCCTGAGGGCAAATCACTGTTGAAATTATTTGGTATTTTCCCCACAGATACCAGGATGAAAGAGAGAACAATGAACAGTAGGTTCTCAAGGGACGATGTGCCTTATTAGTTATCCTCCGAGTGGTTTAATTAAATATCCCTGCAGGAGAGTTACCCTGCGTATGTAATTTGACCTTCTCACTGCAACAAAAGATCAGGCATGTTTCTGCTAGCAGAGACAGTACCAAAACAAAAGGCGGTGCTGGAGGTGACATAAATCTGACCACCAGATTTCACAAGAACTTCTCAAGTCCATGAGATAAGGAAGGGACAGAGTAAGTTTTTTTCCCCTCTTTCTTCTGAGCCATGAGTACGGTGCCAAATGAGTGCAACTACTCCAGGCAGGGAGCTGAGAGCATGGTGCTCTCCTAAAGGAAATGTTCATTTCCATGTGGCAGGCAGCTACAGACCTGGTAAAACCCCGAGGAAGCCAGCGGCTTTGTGGAGAGTGTATTTTTTTCTACCTCAAGGGAGTGGCATAATGATTTAATTTGTTTTCTGTGTTTAGCATAACCTTCTGTATTGCTACCCAAATGCAATCTTTATTTCTACTGCTAAGGCACCTCAACCCCAGCTGCAGATGTTCTCTGAAAAAGGAGCTCAAGCACAGCCATCGTGGATGAAGGTACAAATAACAAGTCCTACAGTTAGAACAGTTGATAGTGGTCTAGAGCAGAGGCTGGAGGGAGACCAGAGCTGTCCAAAGGACAGCAAAACCGGCCAGTTTCTGGAAAAAGAGCCACAGAAAGATCAGAAGGACAGAAAACCAGCCTAGAGACCGGACCTGCTGGTACGTTCAAAACCCGGGTCAGAAAGTGCCCCAAATGCCTGATTAGGGGAGAATGGGACCCCCAGCTGCAAAGTTCAAGACACTCCCTGAAAGAAAACGGTAGATTCTGGTCTGGAGGAAGCAACAGTAGCATGTGATGTGCAAACTTAGCTCAACAAACAAGGAGAAAACGCTGAAGGTTATGCTGTTCCTGACAAAGCAGAAACAAGAAAAGTTTGCTCCCAACAGGAGGGTTGCAGGAAAATGAGCACTGAGAAGAAAACTGAAGAACCCACAGGCAAAATGTGAAACTATATCCTGAAGAGCAACAGCATGGGAACTGGCCATCAAAGAATGAGAGAGGGAGACGCTACAGCACAGGTAGCTCCAAGAGACAGCCGCACTGGAGGCCCAGCATCACCGTGACCTGGAGCAGGGGCAGCGGGGCCTGAGCAAAGGGACCCTTTGGCAGTGCTGACTGTGCCCACAGCAACGGACAGAAGAGCCAGAAAAACAATGACTATCAGTGGAGATATCTTTTTGTCATCCACCACAGGGCTGAGTAGGTTGGGATAAGATACATTTTCTTTTTACTATCTGATACTTTATACTTTATTTTTTCAGTTTGAAACTTACCGGTACGTGCATGAAGTCAGTGACTTTGGAAAATATATACCGATTATCCAATTATATATCTACTTTAATTAAAAACTGGCGGTTTAATTAAAATACAGCCTACCTCTTCTTCATCTGTATGAGATCTTTCCAAAGGTTGAAATTCAACAACTCTCCAGCTAGAAATGAGACAAGAAAATTCAAATTAATTTACCTAAATTCTGTTTCATTATTACAGAGAAGAGATGACTCTTCTGTTTGTACGATACATTGTTAGGTACTCCTTCTTCAACACTGCCTGTGCTTCAAAATCTTCAAAAGAGAATAATTTCAAATTCAATGTGCTGATAACAGTTGTCTGAAATGTAGATTGTTCTTTCCCAACCTAGTAAGTAACCTTTCCTTTTCCCAACACAGTCTTTGAGCTATGCAATAGAGTCTTAATAATATTTTTATCTTTAAATCATAGAATCAATAAGGTTGGAAAAGACTTCTAAGGTTGGAAAAGACCTCTTAAAGACAATATAAAAGCAAATGCAAGGTAGAGATTTAAAATACGGAGCAATTGCATTTAGCCATTTCAGGCAGTTTGGTAGTAAGCCACTGAATTACAGCACAAAGGATCAATTACCCTGTTTTAGCAATCTGAAGATGTTCTTTTTCTAAAAAAAGCCACGTCTCTAGAATCACAGATTATAGATTTACACCATATGGAAAAAATTAGGCTTATTTTACTGTATCAGAATGGATAAATTAAAAAAATATACGCTAAAACAATTACTGTTTAATTCACTGAAAATAGTTAACTATTTTCTTAATTTTCTTGACCATAACACGCGACAGAAGACAGCAACCTCTAAATAACCGTTCAGAGCATGTCAGCCTTACGGCACCTTTAAGGCCGCTACAATTAAGATGATACAAACCGACTTCTATTTGTAGCCAGCCCGTGCATCTGCCACCCCCTGTGTGTATCAGACTATTTCCCTTGTGCTGTCAGCTGCCCTGTCTTCCCACCACTCCAGCCACACTAACTGAAGCGCACAGAATGAAAAACATGAGCACATGAAAAGATCATCTTAATGTTAATATTATAAAATTATCTAACTACATGTTAACAATATCCTCAGTTAATGTTCTCACATTCATTTTGGTATCTTCTTTGCAACTAAAGAGGCCATGAACAAACCTTGGGGTAAGGATTTCTTTGTACTGTAGTTTCTCCAACTTCGACGGTGCCACCAGCGACATTGGAATAACAATGTTGTCTATATCGTAGGAGCTCTCACTTCTCAACCTCCTCCTGGAGTTGTGCTGTAGAGTAGAATCAAAACCAGATGAGATTCATCAGCTCCCATCACAGGAACTACATGTTAGCTGGGAAACATCAGAACTGCATGAGGAGAAAGTCTGTAACTTGAATACATTTTCGAGTGGCTTAATGACTTCCAACTTCCTCTTGCCCCGATGGAATCTCAACGAATCTTAAAAGTAGCTCATCTCTGAGATTGACCTCTTGCTGGCATAACTCTTATTGAAATCAGTGGGAGTTTCCCTCCTTGATTTCAGTTACAGTTAGTTCTGAATACCTAGGAGAACTTTGAAGTTAATGCTGCCCTCTTCATGACGTTCAGTCTGCAAAGATGACTTTCTGTAATCTCTCTACTAACCCGTAGCCCAAGTGGTCCTTCAGTGTGATACAACTAAGAATTCCACAAGAATGAAGCTACATTTAGCACTGAAGAACAGCCTACATGGAAAGTGGTTTTCTGAAAGATGTGCAGGAGACAGAAACTCAGTTTCTTTGCCATGATCACAGTAGGATTCCTGGTGGTGTTCTCAGCCCACTGGTGCATAGAACCTACACGGATCAAACACTGAAGTTTCCAGATTACAGGAGAAAGTTTAGTTTTAAATCATGATACATTCCACATTTCAAGATTTCAATTTTTAGTGGAATGTTCATGGAAGCAGTCTGATCTGGAATCTTCATTTTGGTGTTCTTTGGCGATGGTCTGCTCAAGCAAGGGAAAAAAGAAGGAGAGTGCATTGTCAAAATGCTGGAGACACTGATTTAAACTCAGCTCTCCCGGAGTTGTCACAGATTGAAGCGTGATGACTTACAGAGCACCAATACACCACTCTGCTTAGCAGAACTGTGGGACTGAAATCTGAACATTAGTATGAAATTCTCAATGAATTCCAATAAAACAAACTGTGTTTTTCTGCAGGGACTTAACTGAACCAGAGCTGTGCTGCTCCTCAGCAAATTTATATACCAGAGACTTTACCTGTAGTTCTGCTCAAAACATTTTACATAGCAAAGCTGTTAACAAATACTGTGACTATATATGCATCGTGAGGCCATTTTATGTAGCTGCACCAAGAAAAAAGTATCATAAAAGCCCTTGAGTAAAGTTGGGAACATTAAACCACAGTATATTTAATGATATTTGGAAAAAAAGATAATGAAAAGCCCAACACCAATAAACTAAACTTAGACTCCAGTTATGTGATCTGCAAGATTCTTTTATAGGCAAGTATCAGGTTTAGGAATACCACATACTCAATCTGGAATAAATTACTTAATGTAATCCACTTAATTCACTGTAAAAATGCTCTGTAGAGTAATTTTAACACTAAATTAGATGTAAAAGGCATGTGTTTTGTGATTATTAATTCGCACAACTCTGCTGACGTTCAGTTAAGACAGTGGTAGGTTTTTGGTTTACCTGTGATGAAGTGCTGTGAGTGGGCCTAGACATCGCACTGACATTGGTCACAGCAGCAAAGCTGCTATGGGATCCTGGTTCTGCATGTTGAAAGGAGAATGTCTCAAATCTAGCGTTATGATTGCCTGTCACAAAAAAAAATAATTTAAAAAATGTATACTGGCTGTTGTGTATTCGGCTGAAGATATTTTTTCCATACAGTAATAGTAAAGTCATTTCTAGAAGTCCACAGCTAACGACTTACCATTTAACGAATACTAAAAAAAGCCGTCTAAATAAACGCCTGTTACTCATCCCTCTCCTTCTGTGAAGGATTTCTTCTGGTGGAACTAGCTTCATATGGGCAAATCCTGCTTCTTTTTCCAGAAGCTGCCATAGACTACAGTCACGGCAAGTGCAGTCAGACTTCATGAAACACTCCTCAGCGTTCCCTAACAGTGCTTCCCTAGCTGAGCTGCACCTCACTAATGTTCCAGTTCCCTAAGCCCTCACTGATGGTTTCTTCCTTAATAAATGGTAAAGCAGAACTGGCAGCAAGGGTAACAAATAAACTAAGTTTCTAGATCTCCATGTGCTCCACTGCTCCAGACAAACTGTAATTCTCATTTACTCTTATTCAGTTCCGGTGTAAGCAGCATTTCAGGGAATTCAGAATTTCACCACCTGCTCTCTGCTTTCCTTCTACCTTAATTTCCAGTAAGAAAAGAGAACTCAGACCTAATATACCAACTCATAAAAAGAATCAGTGTATTTCAACATGGAGAAAGTGGCAGGACTGATCCTAAAGGCTGTACTGCTCAGACTGGGTCAAGGACATGAACTCTCGTCTCCCAGGCAGCTCTGCAACTCCCTGGCACACAGCTTTTATTTTTGGCCTTGTTCATCAGGCTGACCTTCCCCATGGATAATTTCTCCTATACAGAGCCCAAATTAGGAATAAATATGTAGTACTACACCCAAAGCACTAATAAGCTAGAACTTGTGCTGCTACTCTTGAATACACCACACAGCAGTTTGCTGGCATTGGGAAACTATGATCCTCATTATAAAAGACTGCTTTTTTTCCCCCTTCCATTAACTCAAAGAATTAAGTCCTATTGGCAGAGGATTAATTCTGACTTCAAAACAATTACAGCAAGAAGTTTTCTCTCATACCAGTGCTCCCAAGTAACTCCAATTGTTGATCTGTGTGTATGACAGCACGTTTAGGGAACAACGTGGTTGCAAGCGTGTCAGCATCTGCCTTTCGGGGACCAGTGACTGGTTGGGGGAGCAGGTGGCATGGAAAATAGGATCTCCGATGGTGAAAGGGGACAGGGCACAGCACTCCCCGCAGAGAGAGGCACAGAGCCTAAGAGAAGACTGTACAGCAAAGGGGACGACTGTAATGCACAAGGGGACTGATACAGAGAAATCTGTCTAAATCAGAGACGCCTTTCAGTCTGTCCAAAACCACATTTTATTCTCTCCTGTCACTTTCTAATCAAGAGGGTTTTCGGTCTGGGGTTGCAGTGATGATTTTTGTTTGGTTTGGGGTTTTTTGTTTGCTGTTTTTAATAGATGAGAATTTTTTCTTACACAATCTCTGCAGTAATTCCCATATCTCCACCTCTACTCCAAGATTACACTAGCAGTTTTACCTGGATATGCAACACAAGTGTAGTTTTCCACAATGTTAACTCACCACTTATGTCTTTTAATTCTTTCTAAGGGGAAATTTTAAACTAATATAGTTTGTCGTCTTACTCACCGATTCATTTTCTTCAACTGTCTCGTGAAGAGTTTCACAAAAATTTTTCCTAAAGTTCACATAAATGAATCTGTAGCAGAATCTGTTAGGTTTTATGTTCCAATAGGCTGCAGAGGTAAGATGCTACTTATCTTTACAATGGTATGGAGAATTTTTTGTCCCTAAATTACCACATCACTCTACAGAACTTTCAGGGCACTTTCCATTAATTTATCAAGTGCTGAAGCAGAGATTCAGTGGCTTAAAATTTAAAGATAACAAGGGTGAAAATACCAATGATGAGCACTGGCTGCCCACAGGTACTCTTCACAGTCTGGAAGGACAGCAGGACCACAAACGACAGTACACAACAAGTGAAACACAGCTGACCAGAGACACCAGGAGTAGTAAATGTCTGGTTGGGCATGGGATTTGACAGATAACTTTGCAATTCAGCCTGTTCCATTACTATAACAAACCCCCCTTCGTATTAAAAATAATGACACTCAGTATTAGGAAGACGTAGCTGGACTGCTGAGCAGCTTCCTTTAAGAGTATTCCAAAAATAAAATACAGAAGCTTGTCTCATTTTGTAATATATACTGAAGAAGAAAGAGAAAGGTTACTATGCTTTAAAATAGCACATTATTGTCATGGTGTCCTAAGTCCACTTCTTCACTCCTGTAAAGTTTCATACAGTACCCTTTTTGGAGACAACTTACAATCAATTCTTACATCCCAATGACAACAAACCAATTTATACAGTAGATATTTTTGAGGATGTAGTGCCTTCTTACATGTTTTTCTCTTACCTACTGCTGTCTCACTTAGATGTCTTTTCTTCCTTCCTTCCAACAGATGGTCAGAAGTTCCTGACACTGACTGAGATTTGGAATTAGACAAACAGCCGCTGCTCCACTGTTTGACAGCAATGTTATGTTGATTATAGTCTACAACAGAAAAAGCACGGATTGAGTTGAAAATGTATTTTCCGTTGGTGCGATTTACAGGCAATCTCAGCTGCTGAACTATTTATAATGGGAAAAAACAGACTTCTGAGAGGAATCCAAATAGTAAACAGTACTGCAGTCAGGGACCTTTGTCTGCAGAGAACCCAGAGGCCAAACTGCCCCCACTTGAATTAGTGCCCTCCCACAGCTCCGATGGGATCATTCCAGTGGTCTGGGAAGAGATTCCTCTTATACCTGAAGTCTTAGCCAGTTACCCTCTCTGATAAGCTGCTTTGTGGTAAGTCTATAAATTGAACCTCTTCAGGGCAGGAAGTACTGGCAAATGAATGAAAAACGGTCTTACAAAGTTTAAAATATCTGGCTTTACATACCATTGTCTGAGGATACTTTAAACTCCACTCCTAAAGAGGAGGTATCAACAGGTTCTCCTTTGATGTCATCCTTCCTTAATAATGTTTCAAAATAGATGTGAAGAGGAATATCTAATAAAAAAAAAGAAATCCAAAGGGAATGGAATTTGTATCAGAAAGATGGCAACCTATGAGCCAATGAATGATGCATAATCACTAAAGGTCTAGGAATTGATTACACAATACTATGCAATATAATCTATGAGCAGTACTGCTGCCTTGAGTCCTTCAGCTCATGAAGAACAGCAGTGCTGAGGAACTCCTGCTACGACTGACTGCTTGTCTATACAGCCGCAGTGTCTTCACATGGTCAAGCTAAAGACAACAATGGAAAACATGTCCTGAAACTGGTGAGAGCCAAAGGAAAACTCAATGACAATATCCCAAAAACTCACAGAATCACAGAATATGAGAAGTTGGAAAGGACCTCGAAAGCTCACCCAGTCCAACCCCTGCCAGAGCAGGATCACCAGACCAGGTCACACAGGAACACAGCCAGGCGGGTTTTGAATGTCTGCAGAGAAGGAGACTCCACAACCTCTCTGGGCAGCCTGGGCCATGCTCTGGCACCCTCACAGTGACAAAGTTCTTCCTCATGTTCAGGTTGAACCTCCTATGCTCCAGCTTGGGACCATTGCCCCTTGTCCTGGCATTGGACATCACAGAGCAGAGCCTGGCTCCTTCCTCCTGACACTCACCCTTTACAAATTTATAACCATGAATGAGGTCTCCCCTCAGTCTCCTCTGCTCCAAGCTCAAGAGACCCAGCTCCCTCAGCCGCTCCTCACAAGGGAGATGCTCCACTCCCTCCATCATCTCTGTGGCTCTGTTGGACTCTTTCAAGCAGTTCCTGTCCTTCTTGAACTGAGGGGCCCAGAAAAAAAGCCCAGCCAGACATTTCAAAGAAGTTACTTTTGCATGAATAAATAAGAAATTTGAGGCAGGGTATTCTCAGAAAGACAGTTATTGTATGAGCGCTGCCCTCTACTATAGGCAAAGACCTGTTGTCTTTTCTGTCAGTTATCTAAGTGGTACACAAGATAATCTCCAGTAATTACCTGGAGGTAGGATCTCAAGTTACCTATCTGTCTATTAACAGGAAGTGAGAGTTATGCCATGGTAAAAACAAATCCATTTTTAACTGTGAAGCTACACTGCCATATGTGCTACCCAGGCAGCACACTTAAGTGGTTCCAAGCTCTCCAGTACAAAGAGCTTCTAAGGGCTGACAAGAGAACTCAGATCAAGGTAGGACTCAAACCTAAGGAATACTCCTGAACAAATCCCAGTGCAGACATACAAACTTTGTAGATTAACAGCTCTTTTTTCTGGTGTTCAAAGTAAGAAAGAGCCAGATTGTCCTACTCTATGTCCATACCTGCACAATTACTCCAGAAATGCTCTTCATGAAAACAAGCTCTGGAGGGTATCAAGAGTCAGACTGGGGTCTTCCCCTCTTGTCTAAGTCCTGCACAAAACCCAGCACGGTGGAGAGCACAGAATGCACTTTTCCTATAATCTGAAGAGCCTTCAGTTCAGTCTTTTGGGGACAGGTAATTAATCTATTGGAAATTGTTACTGCTGGGAGTCTAGAGGTAATTTCAAGGTACATTCCTTCTCTCTCTCTCTCTGGCAAAGGCTATAGCAGGGTAATGCAATTCATTTCCCAAGGGAGTTCTAACCAAGAAAGAGTCTGCAAAACATCTCAAGTGGTAAAGAATCTACCCAGCGTAGTAAGGCAGGAAGGCTTAAGAAAAATAGGTCTCTGTCTGAAAACCCTTTCGAAAAAACAAAATGACAAGAGAAATTAAGCAGAAAGAAACATATCATCCTAAGAAGCTTGACGACTACTATGTTCAGAATGAGAAGAGGTCTAAGGGCATGGCCAAAGGGTGGGCATTAAACTACTTTTATTTACAAACAAACTCAGCCTCATGTGCCTTCAGGACTTGCCTGCACAGAAACGTTCAACATATTCTGCTAACTTAAAAGAATAGTTTATTTCAACTCGATATGGGTCTACCTAGGTATTCTGTCACAAGACTAAAGGTGACCTGTAAAAGGTTGTTTCCTCACAGGGTTTTTGCCATGTTTCCTGTTCTGCTTCTAAGTAAAACATAAAGTAGGTCTGTACTTACCTGAAGGGAATGATAACACTGGATGGAAGGAAGAGTCCAGCTCTTGCACATAATCTAGTATTTTAGATGCACTGTACTCACTACTGCTGAAAGCAGAGGCTGGCATCACACACGGTAGCTGAGTTTTGTATGGAAAGGAGGCAGCTCTAGATGGTGAAGTCTGCAAGGATACACAGAAGGAAATGTTAACTTCTCCTTTACTCATTTTATTCAAATTGGACCAGAAGAAAAAGAAGATAATCTGAGTGACACTATGAGAAGGGGAAAAATATTCCCACATACTTCAGATAGTCTAAATAGGACTTACCTCCACTTATCATGGACTATGGTACACAATGCAAAGAATACACAAATATCCATCAATTAAGACCAGGAAACAGTTGTCAGAGTTTCCAGAGAAAATGTAACTGTTTCCAATCTTTATTCTGATATATCCTCTGACAAAGAAAGAAAGAAAGAGGAAAGCTGTGAAGACAGATTAATTTAGCTGCTTATTTGCAAGGCTTGTTAAAGCCTGGAGGGTAAAATGATGGATTGCACAGAACTGGTAGGTCTGACGTAGCAGGACACAGGGTGAAAACGGGCAGCAATAAGCAGGAGAGTGCAGGTAACATACTGAGTTCTGAAAGACAGAAGGAAAGAACTGGATCTAAAAGAAAATAAGGACTTATACAGAAGCAAGAGTAATTTTACTTAAATGCTTGTGAAGTTATCAGAAAAAAGCAAAAAAATCTGGCAGTGCCTGTGTTCCTAGCTACTAGATCTGGTTTGAATTTCTGATGGAATAGTTTTCCACTGAAAAATGCCAAGTTTTCAAGGGCAACTGACATAATCTACTTGGACTTGTGGAAAGTGTTCAACACTGTCCCTCTTGACATCCTGGTCTCTAAATTGGAGAGACATGGATTCGATGGACGGCCACAGTCAACGGGTTGCGGTCGACGGCTCAATGTCCAAATGGAGACCAGTGAGTGGTGTTCCCTGGGGGTCAGTACCGGGACTGGTGCTGTTTAGCATCTTTCCTGGTAATACAGTCAGTGGGATCGAGTGTGCTCTCAGTTAGTCTGCTGATGGCACCAAGCTGTGTGGTGTGGTTGACACACTGGAGGGAAGGGATGCCATCCAGAGGGACCTGGACAGGCTGGAGAGGTGGGCCTGTGCAAACCGTTTGAAGCTCAACAAGGACAAGTGCAAGGTCCTGCACCTGGGTCGGGGCAATGCCAAGCACAAACACAGGCTGGGGAAAGAATGGATTGAGAACAGCCCTGAGGAAAAGGACTCGGGAGTGTTGCTTGATGAGAAGCTCAACATGAGCTGGCAGTGTGTGCTTGCAGCCCAGAAGGCCAACTGCATCCTGGGCTGCATCACAAGAAGAGTGGCCAGCAGGGTGAGGGAGGTGATTTTGCCCCTGTACTCTGTTCTGGCGAGACCTTAGTACTGTGCCAGTTCTGTAGTTCCCAACAAAATAAGGACACGGAGCTGTTAAAGCAAGCCCAGAGGAGGGCCACAAAGATGATCAGAGGGCTGGAGCACCTCCCGTGTGGGGACCGGCTGAGAGAGTTGGGGCTGTTCAGCCCGGGGAAGAG